GATTCGCACCACTGCTCTCCTCAGCCTTGGAGCGCACGATAGCCAAAATTAAACCAGGATAGCACAAACCAGGTGAGCACAAGCAGGGGCTGATTGACAGGTGTCAGAAGACGCGAGCTTACTTGTTCATCGGCCACACGGGAGGGGAGGCAGGTGGCCACACAGGAAGACAAGCGGCAGTACTGATCCACGGACCCACCACTGACCGAGTTCCCACGTTTCAGCCTGAAACTTGCAAATGCAGAAAAAAACCGAGTTTGACTTCACGGCCCTCGCCCATTCGCTGCTTCCCCCTGGATTCGCTTTGTCTCCTTCGCTTCCCCTCCATCCATGTCCCCCAGCAGAAGGATCTCCCCCCCCCCCCGGACTCTCTCCCTGTTGAGGGGGGGCACTTTCCCCCCCACCCCCCCCCCCCCCCGACTCATGTCTGGGCCCTGCTGCATGCAAACATACAACATACGAACAGGTGACCCATCTGTGGCTTCCTCGTTCACACCTTCCACACAACGATGTCAACAGCACCAATTCATGCACACTTTTTAATTGCTTCATACACCCGTTCGCGCCTAACCCTAAAAGAGAGAGATTAAAAAATGTCAACTAATGATTGAGTTAAATTTGGGGGGGGGGGGAGGGGAAAGAAAGAGAAAGGAAAAAGCAAAGAAAGAAAGAAAAAAGTGTGTGTGTGTGTGTGAGAGAGAGAGAGAGAGAGAAAGGAAGGAAGAAGAGAGAAAGGGAAGGAAGGTGAGAGAGAGGAAGGAAAGAAAGAAGAGAGAAGGAGGAAGGAAGGGAAGTGGGGGAAGGAAAGGGAGGAAGGGAGGTAGGGAAGAAGGAAGGAAGGTGAGAGAAAGAGAGGGAGGAAGGAAAGAAAGGAGGGAGGGAGGTGGGAAAGGGAAGGAAGGAGGGAGAGAAGGAAGAAAGAAGAGAAAAAGGGAAGGAAGGTGTTTATTTATTTTTATTTATATTTATTTATTTATTTTTGTCAATTGCTTACAATATAATAGGTATAAGTATAAACATAGTTATAAATACATGAAATGGGTACATGTAAGAAAAATAAAAGAAACAATAGGACAGGGACGGTAGGCACATTGGTGCGCTTATGCACGCCCCCTACAGACCTCTTAGGAAAGGGGTGAGGTCAATAGTAGACAGTCTAAGGTTAAAGTTTTTGGGGTTTGGGGAAGAGACTACAGAGTCGGGTAGAGTATTCCAGACATTGACCACTCTGTGGCTGAAGTCGTATTTCCTGCAATCAAGTTTGGTGCGGTTAACCTTGAGTTTGTATCTATTGTTTGCTCTTGTGTTGTTTATGGTTGAAGCTGAACAACTTTTGTGTTGTTATGGTTGAAGGTGAGAGAAAGAGAGGAAGGAAAGAAAGGAGGGAGGGAGGGAGAAGGTGGGGAAGGGAAGGAAGGAGGGAGAGAAGGAGTAAGGAAAGAAGGAAGGGAAGGTAGGAAGGTGAGAGAAAGAGAGGAAGGAAAGAAAGGAGGGAGAAGGTGGGGAAGGGAAGGGAGAGAAGGAGTAAGGAAGAAGAGAGAAAGGGAAGGAAGGTGAGAGAAAGAGAGGAAGGAAAGAAGGGAGGGAGGTGGGGAAGGGAAGGAGGGAGGGAGAGAAGGAGGAAGGAAGAAGAGAGAAAGGGAAGGTAGGAAGGTGAGAGAAAGAGAAGAAGGAAAGAAAGGGAGGAAGGAGAAGGTGGGGAAGGGAAGGGACGGAAGGAGGGAGAGAGGGAGGGAAGCAGGAAGGAAGAAGAAAGGGAGGGAAAGAAGGGACTTTAAAATTGCAGATTGCAAGAGCGAGTGGATTTCAGAAATAGACCCATTGGGGTTTTGGTTTCTTTTTTTTTAAATGTTCTGGCAAAAGAACCGGAAGGATATGGCGCCAACAACTTACTCAAACCATCCCTTGACGGCTTCCTTGTATTTGGTGGTGCTGAGCGAGGAGGCCGATGCGGACCTGTAGATGAAAATAGGACGTCGGAAGGGGAAAAACCCCGCAATCATCAAAGGAAGAAGGGAAGGGAGGGGGGATGTTTACAGGTAGTCCTCCACTTACGACCGCCATCGGGACTGGAACTCGCATCGCCAGGCAAGGGCCCCGAGGTGATGCAAGCCGTGCTTTTCCGCTACGGTTGCTAAGCCAGTCCCTGCAAGTTGTTATAAGTGAGCCGGCTCTTCGTTAAGCGAATCTGGCTTCCTTCCCCTTATCGGTTTTGTGGGTTGGAAGACGGCTGGGAAGGCCGTCAAGGTCGATGACCACGTGACCCTGGAAACCGTCGTAACTCCGAGTCGGTTGCCAAGCGGCCGAATTTTGATTATGTGACCCTCCCCCCCAAGGATGCTGCGATATTCTGACCCAGGCTTCGTCAAACGTAACGAAACACAAACTTGTTTGAAAAGCAAAACCTATTTTATTGCAACGCTGGGAATTCCTTGCATTCCCAGCCAGAGCTAATCTTAAAATAGTCCCCCAAGATAAGCACTCACCTTTCACTGCTGTGGAATGTGGCCCAAAAAACAGAAGTATCCAATTAATTATAACAGAAACCAACCGAAGTACCAGAAAAAAAACCAACCAGGCTTCAAGGAGGAATCGGAATCTATCGAACAACTTTGCTTCCTGCAAAGGTTGCGTCCTCTTGGCCTCACTTTTATCCCTGATGGGAGGGCCAATCACCTCCCAAGTCGCCCCTTTTGTCTCGGCTGCTCTTGCCTTTTAGCAGCTCTGTGCATACGCGCACTGGGAACAGGCTCCCGCTGCTCCTCTGCCTCGCTGCTGCCAGACTCCAGAGGCTCCGGAGGCAGCACCCCACTCCCAGATGGTCCTGGCCCCATCTCCGCATCGGATGCAGGACCCTCGTCTGAGTCCTCCCCACACTCCCAGGCTGGTCCCTTTTCTTCCTCACTGTCCGACTCCACTGCTGTCTGCACCAGCTGCCAGCGAACCACAACACGCGAAAACCAGCTATAAGTCCCTTTTTTTTCAGTGCCGTCGTAATTGTGAACAGTCACTAAACGAATGGCTGTAAGTCAAGGACCACCTGTAGACCGGAGAGATGACCTGCTAAAGGCAACCCCTTACCTGAAGGGTCTTTTCCACAATTTTTCACCTCCTTTCTTCTCTTCAGAGTCGTGTCTGCTGGCCGATTTCTTCTCCCCTGGTTTCACTTTTACCGAGTCTCTAACAAAGGAGAACAGTCAGAGGAAAATTTAAAAATATTTCACTTAAAGCATTGCTGAGCTTCCTCTACGGTGGCCTAGAGGTGGAGCTCTCGCCTCCCAATCAGGAGGCGGTGAGTTCGATCCTCGGTAGAGGCAGATATTTCTCTCTCTGGGCACAGGGAGAATCTGTCCTGCCCCTATCAGAGTCTGAATCCGAGGAGGAAGACGAACAGCTGACAGGGAGGAGGAGTATGGCTCCGTTGGCTGTGGAGGGAACTGGGGAAGGGCAAAGTCCAGCTGGGCAGAGCAGGGGAGAGGGAGAACAAGGGAGAGGGAGTTCAGAGGAAGACCCAGGCCCCACCCCCTCTTCATCCTAGGGCACGCAGGGAGGAATGGAGAAGGGAGCAATGTGGGTTGCATGGCTTACGGGGGAGGAAAGGGCCCTGATTCCCTTCATTAGGCACACCTGAGAATGAGAGTTTAAAAGAGATGAATGCTGAGTGCGGCAGCTGCTGGGAACAAATGTGAGTTTATCTTGTGTTGACTTTGGTTATCTGTGTTCCCGGCATCTTCCCAACCGTGTTGAGTTATTGTCGTGCCTTCACATCTGGAATTCCTTCTCCTGCCCTGCCGGACAAATGACCTCATTTTGCCTTGATTGGACTTATAGTTACAGTTTCTGTTGACCACGTTTTGGACTTGATTCCCTGCAGCCCAAGGCTGTTCCTGGGAG